TTTTTTTCGCTCGGTGATTTTTATGTATATTTTGTTTTTTCTTTTTTTGACACGCCAACGGAAAAGCGTTCGCGCGCGGTGGAGGTCGAACGACGGGAGTAAAAGGCACAGAAAAAAAGGAAAAGGGCAATCCTTACGAGTCATAGAGTGGATCCCAGGTTGTTGGCGACAGTGGATAAATGTACAGAGGAACGATTATGCCTGATGGAGGTGGCGTCTGCACAGTCGTTGGCGAGGTTTCGCTTTGCTTTTTCTTGAGCTGTCGGTCGCTCAGTCGCATTTTGATCCTTTTTATAGGATCCCACGCCTGCAGCGCCTGCATTTCGTCGCTGTGTCGCGCTCAATTGGGGGATGGAAGAACTCAATCGTGCTGACCGGCTCGCGCGGGCGTCAGGAAGCCACGGAATCCAAATCAAGGCGGGATCCCGGTAGTACTTGTAGAAAAAGTGGTAGTTAAAGTTGACGCCAGCCAACTCAGCCATGGCGCGGGTGGAGTTTGGAGCAGCATTAGTTCACGGGTCCAGGAATTAGAACCTCTTGGTACCTTTGCGCTCGACGAATCGCTACGATCGACAGACCTCCGCAGCATGTGTCGACTGGAAATTTTATACACCGTATAATATATGCAGGGCTACGGAATATATCGAAGGATGCGCTGATTATCCAGACTTCATCCGACAGCTCCGCGACCATCGCGATGACAGATCACCCCGTGTCGGTACAACATCGTAGAGTTTTCATTAAGCTTCAAAGATTGTCATTAGAAAACCTCCGACAGGCTTGCGATCATCAGGCAATCTGCACGACTGACAGTGTCACTTTCTGCGGCTTATCCTTTCTGCCTGTGTCAACAACAGACGGTATCCTCAGTGCCTACTTCTGCCTGGTGCAAGTGCCGTCAACTTCGCCTTCCGAGTCAGAGCGCATGACTGGATTTTTCTTTCTTTCTTTCTTTCTTTTTTTTTTTTTTTTCAATAGCGTCAAACTATCGGCAGCGTCGCTCTCGGTTGCCGTACCTTGCACCCGGGATCGCGGGTGACTATCACATACTACCCTCAAGCCAGATGACCACCTGAATCATGTCCCACATAGAACAACATAACCGACCTTATGGTGGAAGGTGCGAGGCCGCTGAATCGCATCTTTAGATTGTGCTTTCACCAGCTGCGATCGGGGAGGATCCGCCGACTACTTTAATAGTACTCGAATCATCAGTCGGCGTGATGGAGCTTTGGCTGGAGACTTCAACGAGACAGAATCTCGGCTGCTGCCCGAAGCAGAGACCGGTCTGTTCAAGTTCTCGTGGAGTTTAGATCCAAAGCCAAGTTGTGGAAATGATCAGCACATGCTAGCCGAGTCCGGTTCGGATCTATTTCTTTAGATCGGTCAGCATCCGTTCTTTCTCGTGGTGGAGACAGCCGAGAAATAGGACCTTTCCCTCATAACCGTGGATCTGAGGTGTATATTTGAACGTAGACTTGTAGAATAATTCTGAAGAGTATCAGAACAGTGGGGTTTTCTCAGATTGTCTCAGAAAGTAAAATCGATTTTACAAAGAGAACCACTATCGCATGTAGGGCAACAGGTCCGCCAGCCATCCGTGCACCAGCCCTGATATCCCCTGAAGGGTCTTGGAAGTGGTAGAGCAATTGTAAATTAGACAGTCCAATTCGAGAAAAGAGAAAGTCTCTCCGAACGATACGTGACTCAGCATGCACGGTGATAATGTAATGTGTTTCGATTTTTATTTTATTTTTTTTATTTTATTTAATTTCCTATCACCGTTACTATTTTTGCCGTTCAATGGGTGGGCTGTGGTTGGCGTGTCGGCGAACAGCTAAGAAATTAACAAGGAGGAGCACCAAAGCAAGAGCCGTGGGACCACAATGATAGTGTCATTCTTGTCAGGTACCAAGTCGCCATCTAGAACTTCAATAGTAACAGTAGTGGTGGTAGACTAGCCTCAACCCGACCTAGTGAGACTTGCATTCAGCCCTTGTTAGCGCCATTCTCCACTGCCACCAATATGATGGTGAGTATCTGAGAACATGGATCGGCAGAGCAAGAAAATTGGTTCGGCTTCGGATTCCCCACCTGCTGTGCTGGGTTCCTGAAGTCTCAGCTGCCCATAAAGTACATATACAGCGTATGTAGGTCTCATTAAGAATCCAACTCCCACAACGGTTCAAGTAAGGGACGAGCTTGTCGGTCAGTGTCGCCGTCAAGTCATTCAAATAAAACGCTACGGATCCCCGCTCCGGAATGTGTGGTGCCTGTCATTAAGTTCTTTTCTATTCGCTCGTTTGGTTCAGTGTGCCCGTTTCGCCATGGGCGCAAACTACTTGGGCCTAGATGCGGTAGGATGGCATGCAATGGTGAAGACCTGGTGGTCTCAGGTAAAACCCCCCGTCATGTGATGCCTCAGCCCTAACACGGCTTACTGACTGAAATAACTAGGTTCTCGCCGCTTGTTTGCTGGCTACCATTGTAATTGGGGGCCTATATATTCTCTTCCTTGTCGGAAGGCACATCCGCAAGACTTGGCGTGTACGTATCTGTTGTACCCAGTACGAGGTACTCACACGGCACTGGATCCTGTTAACATCGTAATAGAAAAGGGATCAGCTATCCGAGGTACCCACGGTTATTTCGCGGTGTCTCGATCGCCTATCAAAAGAGGCACAGCCACTCTCGACCGAGAGATATGCAGGAAAAGAGCTTCAATCATTCGGCGTCTTCCTCGGCAGTCTATCGAACCCACCAACTCCTGATCAGACGCAGTTGCTGCAACAGTGGGATATCACTGTTCTCGACCCTGCGCAAGAGGGTGTTCTGAGTTCTCTATCAGGCCAGCCGACAGCTTCCTATACCTTAGGACGACTGGAAGTGCGGGCGCTGGCGAACTCCGAGCGCGCTTCGGATAACGATGAGGTGATTCAGGCTTTGGAGGCTGTTGCCCAGGCATTGCAAACAAATTTCAAGCAGTCCCAGGGTGCACAGTCGCCATTCAATGGAGTTCTTCTTGCTGATTTTCTCGCCCACTTCCAACCCGTGGTATTGAACAGATTGGTAAACTATATAAACCAGCTCGGGCTCGATGTCTGGCTCGAGCTTTCGCCACCAGCTTATATTACCGAACAACAATGTCGCGAGATTGATATGCTGCCCATCAGGGGCTTTATTTATCGTAACGCCACTATCTCGCCTGATGGTAGCAGCCGCAACTACTTCCAGATGACTGAAATGCGAACAGCTATGCGCGCTATCGCCTCTCAAAAATCTATGGGTGGCACCACGGTCGCGATGTGGGAGACGATCGACAATGGAGCAGAGTTACCGCACGATGTTATTCACCGGACATTCAAATGGTGCAACTACAGGAGTGCAATGTGCTGGATTGCGCCGCGTGACGCATTGACCGACGCGACGATTGCGACTGCAAAGACTATAACTGAGGAGCCGCTCGGGGCCCTGATGTGGATGAAGGGCAACGAGGTCACCGAAGCGCATAATGTGTGGAGGTCTAACGGAAAGGTGAGATTATCAACCTAAATCCTGGAAAGTGAACAAGTTGACATTCAGTAACAGGTCTGCCAAAACCCCTGCGATCATGACTCTCTGTACGAGTCTTTACATTCCTTCATACCCGATCTGCCGGCAAAACTATCGTTGTCGCCGGCCTGGGAACTTCCAGCCGATAGTCAAGAGACAGTAATCGACGAGCTCTATTGGCCATCGCAGCAGGAATCCACAACGAACCCTTTCTCTGTTTCTCCCGCTGGAGCCGACTATACGGGGCTGGGATGCTTCCAACTCGGACTCGACTGCACATCTCGAGACATTACCGATTTAGTTGATGCCCAGCGACATGTCAGAGATCTTGGTCTCCTTGAACGTGTCAAGCTAGAGGAACTCCACGGTATCGCTGGACAATTGCGTGCTCTCCAAAAAGCAACGACGACACCTTCCCAGGTGTTCAACGCTGTGAAAGAATTGCTTAGTATTCTCAGCTCTTGCAATGGTAGTGAAACTGATACCCTCAAAGTCTATGTGGGATTACATTCAGGATTTCGCACGCGCCTGGAAACACAGGTCTGGGGTTTGTATGATGTCGATACCGCTTCCGGTACTCTCAACCTCAATGTCTATCTCTCGGCGAAGGTACAGGACCGTACTAGCACCCTCCTACACACTTTCATGTCCAGTAGGGGATACTCGAGGTTTGAATGTCTGATGGCCGAGGTCGCGCTAGCAACACAGACCGGAAGTTTGTCAGAGACCTGGGGATTGCCACCACGCATTATGCACGACATCGAACAACTTACACCTGCTGAGGCAATCTTATTTCTGCGCCGTGTTACAACTTCTGAATGTTCGAAGTCTTCGTCATTGTCTCAGAAAGTACGCGCTTTTTGTGAATACCAACTCGTGGAGGCTCCGTCTCTGGCCCAGCTCAGAGCTTTGAGCTCTACTGCGTATCTGGGCGGCGAGATATCCGCTGAGGACCTTGTTCATTCACGGCTTGCATGGTATCGGGAACAAGGATGCTGGTGCCCTGATTCTACGGTCGCTGTAGCTCTTTTCAAGGAGGTCGATGCCCGGCTACCGGCAATCCTTATCAATGGGGAGCTTCAGATTCTGACCCAGCTCGCTACCGTCGCTCATACCGTTTTGCGAACGGATCAAATCGATGCTGCTGCCGACTTGTTTGCTTTGTCCGTCTTTTGTGCATTCCGCAAGCTCGCCCTCAATGAAGTCTACCTGGAAGTCCTCGACCGGAACCCCTTGCCCAACAATGACATGCTTCAGGCCTCTTGTTTCGCAGAGATGTACGCGGTGGGTGCACGCTGCGATATGTACTTCGATATGGCCCCGATACTTCTCGGAAAGATCCTCGCCACCCGGTACCGTGCATACTACGATGTCCACCAACCCCCTCGCCGGGACGATATGTTCACTGAGCTCCCAACAGCGTATTCATCCATGGACATTGACTTAGATCCGAAGGGTGAGCAAGAAAGACCATCGGTATTCTATCAATTCACATTCCTGGGCATCTTCGCCGTTCCAGCCCTAATCGATATCGTCATGCTCACGACCGTCGGCCGAGGTCTTTACCTTACCACATTCATGAGTAACATTGATAAGTCGTTGGCGACACTCGCATTGATGATCGCTCTTATCCTCTGTGGTGGATTCGGCGGCTGGATCAGTTCTGGAGGAAACTACTACCTTAACGCCATGGCTTTCCCGGCCATGAGTATGTTCGTGCTTACCCGATTTGTGGCCGGACTGGCAGTTGCCTTCGTTGGTGGTATCTTTGCAATGATCGGCATTGGTGTCATCAGTGGATTTGAGCACGGTGTCGTCTTCTTTTTGTACTTCGTGATGCTGTCCACCTTCCTCATGACTCTCTCTGCACTCTCGGTATACCAGATTCCGGGATTCCAGTTCCAATCGGTTAGTGATTCCTGCCTCGTCCTACGGTCATTCCTTTTGGGGCCGTATATACTTGTATCATTACTAACCAGGGATTTCGATATTTAGGGAAGAAATATCATCATGATGTGCATTCCAATCCTGTTCATCTCGCCGATTATCACGATCTGGGTCCCTCACGACACCTGGGTTTATATTCCGTTCCTATGGCTATTCTTAATATGTCTTTTGATCGGTGCTCGTATAAACATTGCTCAGTGGAATACATGGTACCTCAACATACCTCGCATTACGGACAGTGATGTCGTCAATTGGTACCTCGAGACAAGGCCAGGCGACAGTCTGCCAGCGGATGTGAAAGATATTGGCACCACCCCAATCCCACGACAAGCGCTCCAAGAAAGTGTCGAGAAGGAACGGAACCGCCACTTCTGGTCCAGGTCGACTGCGGACCCCTTAGTCCGGAAGTTGGCCGATGGATATTCTGCGACAATGTTCCTTCTCGTATGGTACTGCAGATACTCGAGAACCAAGCTGCCACGGCCTTACAGCCCGACTTGGAACCTTCAATTGAAAGCATCTGTCGACACCATGAGCGACATGCAGAGGGGTGTCAAGCTCCACAACGCCTTTCTCCACTGGCGTCACACCGGCGGTGACGTGTGGTGCGGCATCCTGTACTTCATCCTCGCTCTGGTCGACAAGTGGACCGCACTGCTGACAGGGCAGTCGGTTGTGGGTTTGTCCAACGTGTCTAGCATGAAATATCGGCTTGCTACCGGCTTTGGTTTGGCTTACTACCTCATGGGCGCAGTCATCCTTGATGCTGTGTCGCAGCCACTGTGGACATTGGCCAATAAAACCACCTCCCGTGCCATTGCCTCTCTGGAGTCCCTCCAAGAGGCCAAGCTAGACAATATCCGGGCACGACGAGCACTGTATTGGAAGTCACTTGCAAAGTTCTTCTTCCTCCATATTTGGGGCGCTGCCATCTCACTGGCCCTCATGTGGGCTTTCGAAGCTACTAGCGATGCTACCATCATGTACTTGGCCTATGTTGGATCATACTCTGGTCTACTCTGGTATCAGTACAACAAGGTATTCACAGGGCTTCGTGCGGTCATACCCCTCGCCATAGGCACGGTTATTGGCTTCATTTTGGGTATTCTCCTTCATGTCTATGTACCAGCTTTCGCATACAGCAGTGTCATCAGTTTGGCTTCAGGAACATGGTCCGCTGCTTTGATCTCGTTATACATGACCGACATATGGATGCCGCTCTCGAAAAAGGAGACAAACACGCAGCCGACTTCCAAAGGTGAACTGCCCTTTTATACCTGCAGCGCTCTCAACCCTCGCCCCGACATTTCTCAGACAACGTTAAGCCAAACGTTTGACAGTATTTCCGCCTTGCCAGCCGACGTGCGATACAAACTCCAGCCGTCGGAGCATCCAGGCGTCGAAGTCATGCAAATCCTTCAGTCCCAGTGCAGTTCTCAAAAGTCAGGTCGTGTCGAAGCAGCGTTTCGGCTAGCAGGAGGGCTTGTAAGTCTAACAGCAGAGCTCTGGCAGCGGGGCGAAACCACTATCGAATTAGTGTCCGCTGGTCACCTTCTCCAAAATGACCACAAGATCAGGGCAATCAGTCGCAGCACCGCCAGTGGGTTACATATCTTTGTTGTCATCGGTCCTGATCTTGTCGGGAATGAATGGGTGTCGGGCATTCGCCGGAACTGCAGAATGATCGCCGAGGCGATGGTTCAGGCTACTGCTGAATGTAAATCGGGTATATCGCATAACCAGGCTCTGGTAGCAGAGCTACTAGTTGCAGACGACAGAGATGGTGAACAAGTTCCCGTACCAGAAGGTGTCAAGCGCCAGCTGGAGACTTATACAGAGGAGCGTATGCGAGCTGTCGGCTATTGGCAAAGGACTTTACTCCGTCATCTACTCCTCGGCTTGGAGTGCGACCTCGAGTGGGATAAACTGCCCAAAGATGTCCGGTCCTTCCTCTTGAAAAGATGCTGCGGGCAGTCCTGCCGCCTTTCTTCCACACAAATGGATTGGATCCGGTCAAGGTTCACTGCAAACGAGTCTCTGGGTATTGAAGAATTCATTTCGCGATGCAATCTTGGGGCCGAATTAGCTGTTTCTGTGACCTCTTTCACTGAGACTCTGCCACCGAACCAGGATCTCCAGCATGCCTTCCTAGACTCATGGTCGGTGGGTGCCCAGCTCCCAGCAAGCCCGAACCTGTCAGATCTAGGGTTTGTTGGAACAGTCAAGCTTGTACTGTCTCGACTCCATGAGAAAATCAAAACATGCATCAAGTTCACCGTGATCTCTCTCGTTGCGGATCCGGAATACCAACGGGAGCTGAAATACATCCTTCGTGGACAACCTTTGATTTTTGCCTGGCCGGCAACCCTAATTCTTAATACGGTCTGGACGATCTGTAAAGCTCTTCAGCGGTTTATCCTTCCTTTGGTTTTGGTACGTATTGCTTTCCTTGCGTTTATGATTCAGCTAACTGGGTAATAGCTACACGGTCGTGAGAAGGTCTCCACCCTCTATAAGAATATGAAAGGCAGAAAGACGGTTATTGAGAGCAACCGCGTCATAACTGAGAGCTTGACCGGTCCTTCGACAGGTTTCCTCGAGACTCTACCGGATGGTACCTTGCGACTCTACCAGTACTCTGGGCGACACGAGGAGAAACCAAGTGACAATAAGCAACTGAGGGCCATCAACACTTACAAGGACAAGCTCATTCTCGAGAAGAGGGAAGAATATCACAATGGGTCCCTGACCAACGAATTTGTCTACGATTATACGTCGGTCAATGATGGTCGAAACGCAAACTTGCCATCAAGACGTCAATGCATCAGCGGCGTCCTCAACGGGCAAATCGTTCAGTATGATAAAAGAGGCCACATCATGTCTGGGTCAACCATGCGAAACGGAGACCCGGTGTCGTTTGAATTCTCGTATCGGAAGCATGCCAAGTTTGATGATGAGCTACTGCGAGCCGAGTTCGTTTCCGGACATAACAAAATCCAGGTTGCCTGGTGCATGCCGCCTCAGACTCGTCCGGACAAATTGAACAAATGGATCCCTTATCCTCGTGTCACGGAGGCCACGTTCACGAAAGAATCCGACGTTTACAATGCGAAATGGACATATGATCACAAGTTCCATCCCATCATTTCCACCACTCTCAACGGCGAGTGTTCGCCAACACCGCCCATGATCGAGAACGACTGGTACAATGTTTTGCAGAAGCCGAAGAACTGCAGCTTCCTGGATGATAACCCGCTCTTCTCATTCTCTTCTATCAAAGCCGGGTTTGTACCGCGCATGTTAGGTTTTAATGTCAAGCGGTATCCCATTCCCACCTCGCTCGCCAGAGAACATCTATGGAAATCTTGGAAAAGCGGAAAGGAATTCGACGCGGCTACCACGAGATGGATGGACGAACTTCTCTTGAGGTCTGATCGAGTACTCAAGCCTTACTGGAGACGCAGAGATTTTGGCAGACTCGAGGCTGCTGGGAAGTACCTCGATTCCTTTGGAGACACCGTACTTGCGAGGGTTGACATGAATCCGGAAGTCAGCTCCTGGACATGGCTCGCTTTCAAGATGAGCGACTTGTATAGTTTCGGACAGGGCGGTGATGCGCGTATCAACACGAGAACGCTCTCTACGCAGCTACGGGATAGCGACAGCCAACTCCATGTTCTCGCGCTAGATACCGCGACTTGGCCTAACGAACCCGGTGGTGTCTCTGCTTGCCGACGGGATCTGGTCAACAACCTCAAAACTACTAGATGGCATATCCTCGCTGAAGCGGCTACCGATTTTGGTGTCCCCCGGTTTCAGATTGAGAGAAATGTGCAATCGCTTGCCGTCGTGCCTCAGTGGGGTCTGGACTTCCTCAACCCTACTCACGGAGTCTTCCAGAGCTCGCTCGATTCGGAGGTTGCGGAACGCTCATTCGACACGCGGAAAAGTGATATTGAACAGAATTTCATTCCCATTCTCACCAGTCTAGTCCGCTGCGCTCGTACCACTCAACATACCCGCCAGCACATTGAAGAAGCTACAAAAGCTTTGGTTGATTTGAACACCTACTTCGAGTCTTCCCGGAACTGGAACGATGTCTGGATGAGTGACGTGGTTAAAGATGCCTGGAGAAAGTTATGGTTGGCCGACGATCTTGATGGTGTCATACCCATATCCCAATGGAGAACTGCGGAACATCCGACGTTGGTGCAACTCGACACCGCGTTGGATATGTGGCATCGCTGTAAGTTCCTTTCCTCGATGTCCTTGCCTGGACCATATGTACTGACTCAGTCTCATAGATCTGTTTGTCTTCTCTGTTCCTGTCCCCGAAAAGATTCCCGATATTTTCCAGGCATCACATCATTTCACCGGCGCCACCTATGGTGTCCTCTGTAAGATCAAGCGGAAGTGTGCCCTGCATGTGTGGGATCACTCCATCAGCTTGAGAGAGATGGTCACGTTCTTGTCTGGCGCCATCTCTTTCGACTCTTCCTTCGTCAACACCACTCTTATCCACCTGGGTCGTCTGTCCTGTGTCCTGGCTGAACATCACGCGGACGTGGTCTTGCCGTGCGCCGCATTTTTCAACCCCGGCTGGGAGGCAGAGTTGGGAACTTGTGAAGGTGCTCTGCAGCACCGTCGGGCATTCGAGCGAAAGATCGACCCGGTGGTCAACGGCATCACTGATATGGAGAAATACAAACCCATTGAGACCATCAAGACCGAAACGCCTACTGTGGTCATGCTGTCCCATATCCGGTACGTTCACTTCCAATGATTGGAAAATATCTCAATTCAGTGTGCTAATTCCCGCGATAGATATGTGAAGGATATCAAAACCGCCGTCATGGCCACGGATGTGATTGTCAACCGATGGGGCTTCAAGGACTATTGCCTCCACATTTACGGAGACATGGAAAAGACGCCTGGCTACTCCTCGGAATGTCAAGAGATCATCGCGTCCAAGGGGCTTCGCGATCACGTGGTTCTCAAGGGTCTGGGTAACCCATCGGTGGTGCTCCAGGATGCTGTAAGTTCCCCTTGTCACCGATTGCAAGTATGTTGATGTGCTAACGCTGTCTTAGTGGCTGTTCATGAATTCGTCCATTTCCGAAGGTCTGCCCTTGGCTATGGGTGAGGCTGCATTGACAGGAGTTCCCGTGGTCTGCACCGACGTTGGCGCGTCATTCTGCGTTGTCACGGACAGTAAGACTGGCAAGCGGTTCAGTGAGGTCGTCGCGCCCAATGACGCCCTGTCCCTTGCTCAAGCGCAAATCCGAATTCTCGCCTTGGTCGATGAATGGGCCCCGTTTGCCGAGGACGAGGAGGGCTACCAGCCGCCGAAGCTGTCACTGCGCCCCAGTCCCGAGGAGGTGGAGCAGATCACGAAGAGAATGTACGCCAAAACCGAGCAGCGACGTCGACTCGGTATGCGCGGGCGCGATAACGTGCTCAACAATTTCTCCGAGCACCGGTATCTCCGGGAACACGAACAGATGCTCTGGATTGGCAAGTACCAAAGCCGCAGCTTCATTGCTCGTGAGCGGATGGCCTCGTCGAACAGCTCGTTGGGTTTCACCAAGGAGAGAATCCATTCATCGCAGCCGTCCCGAACGTGGTTGGGGAAGCTACGACGTGGACCGGGGCAACTCAGCTCTGCTGAGTCGAGCTCGGATTCCGTTTGATATGCTTGTAGATATGTTTGGTTTAGAGTTTACGATATATGCTTATAGACATAGAGTAGTACATATTGTTAATATTAATGCTAATGGTATATACAACACTTTTTTTTATTTCCATTTGATATACCGTACCTCTCCAAGTAAAAGAGAGAAAACAAGAATATAAGGCCAGATAGGGTTTACATACTAGTACTACTAGTAGTATGCCTACTATCTTTCTACTCCCAAGCAGGCTCAAGACTTCAATGAAGTACTACCACCATCCATATATACCCTCACGGAGCCCAAAAGATACTATCTTCTCTGTAGGATATGCTATTATAAAACAGTGATGTAGTCCGTGGGTGTAAACAGCCAATCATTAGGTTCAAGAGTGTTGGCAAAGTCGATATCAATAACTGGGTTCCTCGTTACTGAGTCAAGGATGTCCAATCCTTAGCTGAAACTTTTGGCTTCTTGTTCGGGTGGTATCGATGGTGGTTCGAATCTTGGAGATTGGGTTGTTATGTATTTTTTGTTGATTTTT